GCTATAAACAAAAAATTGTAGGATTACTTACCGAGTGTGCACCATTCGATGTCGCCATTGCTTAAGCTTGTTTTCGTCGCGGAGCAGCACATCAAATGGCAGACACAATTTCTGATAAGTTATTTTTCTGCGAAAAATTTGTTGCCCTTTGGAGACATCATTAATATAAATAATTTTTATGGCCATTGAATAAGAAATGTTTCTTTCACAAGAAATGTATAAAATTACAGTACTGTATTAGACTTATGTTACCTAATTTACGTACTGTACAGACAATAGTAAACTCAACTTACTCGCCTAAACTCTCCGTAGCGTGACGCTGGACGGCGGAAAGTATATATATAATTATAATAAAGTTAAAATAAATTAAGTTAATATATAATTATATATACAGTGCCTAATTTATATATAATACTGTACAGACGATAGTAAACTCAACTTACTCGTCTAAACTCTCTGTAGCGTGTAAGTAGTTCGGCTGCTCGTCTACTATTGGTCGAGATTCAATCAATCCTGTCGCGACACAAGTCGGCGACGACGTTTTACGAGTCCCTTTTAGTGTCTTTATATGAATACTGTCGCAATTTTTTCGCCACGTTATAGGAATCTCTGTTATAGGAACCTGCGTTATAGGGGGTCTACTGTATATAGAAAGCCCATTAATATTAAATAAATTTAATGTGAACAAGCTTTGAGCATTGAAGTAAGAGCTCATTATATCAAAAATTTAAAATAATGTTAATTTAGGAAAACAGAAAGCTAAATTGTTTAGAAAATTATAATTATATATTATCATTATAATTTTTTAAGATTTTCTATTTCAAATTTTAACAAAATTAAATATACTATTACTTTTGTTGGCTTGCTGTTTGGTTCCAAGTACCTCACTTTTTAACATCTGAATTCTTAATCATTTTATTATAGGCATTAGGAAAACTTCTAAATCGAGAAAAGTTACCAATAATGATGATGTTTTATGCACCATGTAAGTAAAACAAGGTTTATAGTTATAATCATTAAATAATTTTATAGATTATACTATTTCTAAATGTACTTTTATTTTTAATAATGTAATATCATAATGTCAAAAATAAAACAGTTTATTTTGTAAGTACAGTAGAGCATCGATTATCCGACTCAATTGGGAACTCAGGTTGGTCGGATAACTGAAAAAATCGGATAACCAAAAAGAATGAAAAAAAATACATTATTAGTATAGTATATTGGTATATCCCATGTAATTAGTATATTAGTATATCGCTATTAACCAACTTTGCATTGAATTTTCATCGATGTTAAGTCTAACAAATTTTTTTAAAAATAATAATCGTTGCTATTGTATTGCTCACAAAACAAACAACCACTCATAATTAGAAAGTTAAGTCTCGTTTAAATACTGGCCTCCCTTCAATGGTCGACCGATGTTGCCAGCTAAAACACGAAAAATTTTAACAAAAATAATATTAAAGTAGCCAAGACATAGCCAAATATTGTAGTGCCACATCACTAGTGGACATTTGAAATTTGCTGACTAGAATGGTCGGTTAACTGATGTGACGGTTAATCGAGGGTCGAATAATCGATGCTCTATTGTAATGCCATTTATTTTCAGATAACTCATGTTTGATTGATGTTAGTTTAAAAAACTTTTAATGATTAAACTTTCTGATATAGTTGATATCTTCTGCAATATTAAATAATAGAAATTTTAATCAAAAATATACAAAAATACTTTTGCCTAAACTAACTATTATAATATTCTGCATTTCACTTGCATTGGCATATATCCCATACCTCTGAATTGGCATTAAAAAACATGAAATTTAAGTGGAATGCATTTTTTTCACTTTATTTCTGCGGGAAATTAATTATAGATGTAATTATAAAATAAGTGAAATGGAATAGTTGAGATGGAACCATCTAAACTGTACTGTTTTGCATACAAAATGGTACCAAGTAACAATATGTTATTATAACAATAGGTATGGGTTAGATTTACCAAATTACCTTTAATAATCTATTCAAACATCTATCTTTGGGTAACCTTTGTGAGATCCTGGACATGATTAGTTCAAATAAAGTGATGTCTTCCCAAAAAAGTTTATTTTCGAGTTCTTTGCTAACACATTCTATTTTCGATTTTAATGTAAAAGAATCTGAAATTTGGGTAAGCAAAATTAATTTTTTAAAAAATAATAAAACATTCAAATATGCCAAATTAAATTTCTTATTACTTAAAGAAACATATTCTTCATATGAATACGAAGCAAGTTCCATTTCATTCAGTTTCAAACTTCGAAAATATCATCTAATTTCGCCATGCCATACGTAATAGTAAAGTGAGAAAAACACATGAGAAAAGAAAAGTGCTGCCAACTNTTACTTGTTTACATTTTTGTTTTCTCTCATCGAGAATTTCGGAATATGGTTGAATGGATGCGACGATGTTCCTTTTTACATTCGCACTTCGCTCCCAATCATTGTCTAACTCACAAAGTTCAACTGTCAAACTTTCCATAGTCGAAAGGATACGTTAATCCGACCTAGAGCTACGGACGAGCGGAGACACTGATTGGTCAACCACCGGTCGCCATTGCGTGTATGTAAAGTCAGTTTGAGTGGGAAAATTAAGGAGAGATAAATATCGTCTGGCCAACAAGAAGTAGATTTGTCTCACTAATGATAGTTTGTGATCGCCGGAAATGCTATTGCGTTGTAAGGTGTTTTCCTGAACGAACTGTTATGGGATAAATTCAATGGCACTATGGATTCCGACGCCATTTGTTGGACTATTAAGTTTGATAACTTGACTCTTGGGTACCTAAACGTTTAGTATTTTAATATTAATTTAATGCAAATGTATACATATCCAATAATATTAAACAGAAAAAATAAATATATGCAATAAAAATCTTTGTTTTAACGAATGTACAATGTCGCAGCTCGGTAAATATGTCAACACTGAAACGAAAATCAGTGTGGCATAGGGAAAATCGGGGAATTACACAGCAAAATCGCAAATTGTGCAGCGGCGTTATTGTGAATCAGCGTAAATTGAACCGGCGTAAACTGAGGACTACCTGTACTTGATATTTGAATTATTGTGTATATAATAGCCTGGAGTTAAGATGAGTCCAGAGTAGCAATGTGACCAGTATGGTGTTAACAGGAATTATCACAATTAATTTCTGTTAACTTCATTATTGATGATTTTACTAAGAAAGTTGCACACTTACTACAATAACCAGTAATACAGGTTCAAGAGTTGATCACTTAACTCGTGTAGAGAACTTCCATACATCAAAATTAACAGTTGGTATCTAAATAGTTCTCTGAGAGTTTTATATAGAAAGAAGGAATAACTGGAAACTTATCAGCTTTCAATTAGGAGTATCTGATAATATCAATTAAAATGTGGATTGCTGTACAGCAGCAATTCTCAACTGGTGTGCCATTGAAAGTATGTCACAAGATAAATTTAAAAAATTAAAATGATAGATTTTAAAATTTGTAAAAGAATAACAAAATGTACTTTTGAGCATCAATTACTACATTTCAGAAGGTTATGTCAATTAACTGTCACAGAGAAGGTGTTATATGGAAACACAAATAATGTTATGTGCTTAATTTCAACAAGAATTTCCCTCCAATGCTTTCCTATAAACTTCTCATATTCATCTTGTTTTCAAATTAATTTGCCATTATTTCTGAATATTTCTAATCAATTAAAGCATTAAAAAACAAAACCTATTTATCTCTCTCTCTCTCTCTATCACAGAATAAGGATATAAATTTTCCTTTATTAAGTTATTGAAAATAGTTACATCATTTCTGTATAGTAAATGTGAAGTTTGTGGGTTAGTATTGTAAGTTCTCATGGATTTGAAAAATATATTATTACTACTATCTTACTCTGAGTAATTTAATGTAAGTAATTTATAATTTGATATTAATGCAGAATGGCAGATTAATTGTGACAACTGTTAATGACCATTCAATGATAAACAAGTGGAAAAAGTAACTTAAATTTAATGGAAAAACAATTTAAAAAAATCATGCAAATGTTGTGCTAAATTTTATTATTAAACATAATGAAACAGCTCAATCATGATCAATCAATGACCCACAAAATGACTGATTGAACTGAAATCAGTCAAAGTTTATTGACTGGTTTTGTAATCTTTAATAATAAAGTATACCACAACCTTTGCATGGCTTTTTAAGTATGCCACAAGACTGAAAAGTATTGATGTACAGAAAATGGAAAAGAACTAAAGGTGAGACATATGTTTGTCTGTTGATCTGGACATTGTTGTACATTTTGTATCAATGAAAGCATTTGACCTGATATAAACAAGATTCAATAACAAAATGAGTCTTTTTTTTTTTATCACATTGCTCTTGATTTCAAGTTGATCTCCAAACATATAGCAATATGCATGGCTGATTGAGATTGATAAATTAATAATTTTCATTGAGTATATTGAACATATCACTGCAAACAGAACTTTTAATTGAATAGTCTAATTCTAGCTATTCAATAAATTACATACTATCCAATTATTATCCAAATTATTTAATTTATTTTTATGGCAAAGTCTGGTGATGTGAGTGTTTTACTTTGATTGCATTAATTTATTTTGGAATGATTTATTGAGTGTTTTATAAAATCAATCTGATATTGCAGTAATTGTTATAATAGTTTAGTAAAATATTATTTAACTAAACAAAATAAAAAGATATAAAGAAATAACATTCACAAACTTCAATTTTAAGTATTCATTTTTAAGTATAACATTCACAAATTTCAATTTTCAATTAATAATTATAAATTTGAAATTTAATGTAGTATTTTAATGGTATTCTAAAATAAAGATTTTTTTTTAGGGTGTGGATTCTGTAAACGCTTGAAACCAGAATATGCTACAGTGGCTACAGAAATGAAGGGTCATTCAGTAAGTATTTACTTTCAGATTTATGCATATGTATAATAGAAAATTTCTTTTTGAAATAAAATAAATCTCAAAAAATAACTCATAGAGAAAAGTATGGTAATTTTGCTTTCGAAAATAAGATGAAAATTTAAATTGGATGTTAAAACAAGTAGAAAGATGTGTAAAACATTTAATTACTTTTCAAGTACTTTTGTTTGCATCAATGCAAATTTCTTCAGGAATACAGATAATCAAATAAAGCTTTTTAAAAATATTTTAAAAGAATAATAAAATATTGAGTGCTATTAGATTGAATACCAAATTGATGATGTTAAAGTCACTTGAAAAATCGCTAAAGTGTCAAATTGAATGTGATTTTATTTTTTGTTTCTTTTAAATTATTAATTTAAATTTACTAAAATATTTAACTTGAAGTCCAGCTTGAATATGATTAGTGTTTTCATTTAATTATTGATCAAATTTAAAATTTTGTTCTCATCATTTACCTTTCCCCTGTCATCATATCAGCCAGTGAAACCAGTTTCCAAAAGTGGCAACTCTGCTTCTAGTAATGAATTCTAGTTCATGTAAAAAGCTAATATAAACTATTTTTCCATGACTTCTGCTTAAATGGAAAATAGGAGGTAAAAAACGATGAAAAAAACTAACAAGTGTTATGAGCATAACATATTTAAAAGCTATTAATATCAGCTTTTTAAAGATGATTATTATAAAAAAAACTTACTATTTATCACTTAGTGAAGAACAAAAACAGAAAAATTACTAATTTTAGAAAAAATAGAGTTTATAAGATCCAGCTCTGCAGTAAAACTCAGAATTTCATTAGCTATTGTATATGAAGCAGCATTAGATCTTATGATTCAAGGCTTAAAGAACGCAAATATATTAGTAAGAACAGAGCAATGCATTAACAAAAAAAACAATGCATAAATAAGTTAAAGTAAATGATTATCATTAATAATGCTATTCCATTAATGTATTTTCATTAACAACAGCAGAGGAAATTAAGATTACATCTTATGATAATTTAATAGATAAATGTGAGGTTTTGATGGCAGTTGAGGTCACTGCTTGATACTAATTTAGTTTGATGACTGAAAGATGAGGCCTTCAATGGCTAAGAATATAAAACCACTGTTCACTACTAATGTTCTTAATGGTTCATGGTCATGGGGGCCTCTTCAATGGAATGGTCATGTGGAGTTTTCTGGATTAGTAACATGTTAATAACATCTAAATAGTGGCCAGTTTCCCATAAAAGACTTCCCAGGAGGCATCCCCTCAGCAGATCACCTGTGTATCATGTTACTGTATAAGAATAAACTAAACTAAACCAAAAGATGGGGTTTTCTATGTGGGAGAAGAGGACATTGAAAACAAGTTCTAATAACAAGATAACTACTTTATTTTCTGAAGCATGCGTACATGATTATTTTTGATAGACAGTTACTCTGTCACCAGCTTGATAAAGACCAACAGTTTTCCTGGTCCTTCTCAGAGGTCTATCTGGTGCCTCTCATTCAAAGAAGCTTTGTGTTTATTTGTTTTGTTGGCCAGCCCCAGGGCAATGTTCACAACAATGAACAAAATCAAATATTGTGATCCTGTATCAGGAGTACCACTCACAAATGGAGAGAAGGGTTTATTGCTACTTAGAATCTCAAAGAATGGTGGAAAGCAAGTCTTTGCACAGTGAGTAATGAAAGAACTGTTGTTTTGGAGACAGGCTTAAATCTATTTTAGTCCTTTTATCATCCATTATGATTGGTAGAATTTTCCTCCTCACTTCCCAAAGATGTTTTTCATGTTTCCAAGTGGAATTGAAGACCAGTGGATAATGGGAGAGATCATATCAATGTGTAAAATGATGTTGAAGTTTGATGCCAGCCTGAGATGGTTGATCTTGGAATTTAAATTGTTTATACATTCCTTTTTTTGTTATGATTTAGACAAGCTATTTTGTATCTGTCTTTCTCCCTAATTCATCCATTTACAAACATTTCTTTTTCTTTTAAATGAATTTAGTGGGGTTTACACCATATCCATAGCCTCACATAAAAGATATGAAAGACTGGCTTAGATCTGTGAACGAGGTCATTGAATAGACTAAAAAGTTTCTGTAATGTATAAAATTAAAAAGTATTTTTAATTAAATTAGCTCAAAAAGTAATAACATTATGTAAAAGTTTATTCTTTCTTAAATATTAGAGTAATAATCATATTTTATTGTCTTGAATTTTTGCATAAATTTTTTATGTAAATATTATATTGGACTTATGACAATTATAGGTACTTGCAGCTATGGATGTTAATAAACCAGAAAATGCAGTCATTCGTCGTCATTTTAACATAACTGGTTTTCCAACTTTATTATATTTTGAGTAAGTATTTTTATATTGCATACAAATAAATTTGATAATACTTTTATTATGTTATTTATTTTTTTGCAATATTTATGATTTAAATATATCATGTCACATTCTGTTGGAGAATATAAGCAATGTATTATATATGATCATTGAAAAGTTTAATAATTCAAAATAGAACTTTGTCAGTTAGCCAGAAGTACAGATCCATAGAATTTGTACCACTTAATTGGCACAGATTAAGTGAAATCTATTCTCAGGAGATCCGGTCTCTAGTCAAAGGATGGCCTTAAGGGCATTTAAAAGGGATCCAAATTTTGAGATTCAGATCCACGTAAGGATGATGACACCAGTTAATTGAATTTATTATATGTGGATTAACATGCGTTTACGAATCAATACAGACAGGATGAGATCTTTTGATTCAGTTTTAATGAGAGACATAATGAGACATTTCTTTAACATAAAAATATCAAATATTTAATAAAGCAAAGGAAAAATATACAAAGTGGACCTTCAATATATCTAATTATACTATTGCGGAGAGAGAGATTACATTTCCAGTTAAAATCATACTACCTCCAAATATATTTTTCTTACTTTCAGATTCTGTGCAAATGTTCTTATCTTTGGTTAATTCTTTAGCGGCACTTCAATAAACATTTTCTTCTGCTTAGAAACTTAGAAATAAACTTTGTATGAACTTCAGGAGTCGGTTATGGGCGTTGGCCTTGGGGAGATGATATATCCCCATGGCCAACTAAATGATACTAAAGAATCCCCTTTTTTGATGATTTTCTCCAATGAGAGAATTGTATTATTCCCACGTGTTTAGGAAGAGTGGGGGTTTACAGAGGGGTAACTGGACTGTATGTGACTCAAAATTTGTGAAGATAAGGGAAAACAAAAAGAATGTCGAACTTCCATTGAGAAGGAAGTCAGTTTTACCAGTTTCCTTTGTTTTTAATTTAAAATTCTTTCATTTAAAATCAGAAATATTATTTCTAACATTTATGGATTTTACATCAATTTCCAATTAATAAAGGGGGGTGTTCAGAATCTCACAAATTATTATTAAGCTGAAGAATGCTCCTTCATAATTTTTTCATATATGAAATCATTACTATAGTTGTTGTTCATTTTATATCAAGTTATTTATATATTACTTTATATGTATAATTAAGTTATTTTTATATTATAGTCTTTATTTATCTTAAGTTCTTTATATTATTCACATAATTTTTAATGTTTATTTATAATTTCAACACTGACAAAAAATATATGTATTTAAAAAAACATATCTCTTTATGTCTTAATAGAAACAATCAGTATATGAACTCAAAATATAATTTATTATATTTTTATATGGCACAGTAAAATCAGTTCAAAACAGAACCTGAATAAAATGGAAATCTGCCTGAATTAAAAAAATTCTTTAGAATGGGGCAATTTTCTATGTTAAATTTTACTATAAACAAAAACCTGCCCAATGCAGAAATAGAAGTGGTTTTAGGTACAAAAAATAACTTAGATAAAGCAGAAAATTAAAATTTCACTTATAGACAAATAATTAAAATGTCTCAGGATGTAATGATCACTGCAGTGCATGAGAATTGTTTTTTGAAAAGGATTTTAAATCTTGTCAGAGAAAGAAGTCATAGACAAGGGACATACAGACACAAGGTTGTTGTTAATATTAGTCTTTCTTGGAATTAACCAGGGATAGAATGGATTTAAGAAATACTTTTAAGTATTGAAAACTTTCAAGAATCAAATAAGTTTTCAAGAATTGAGTTTTTGAGAAATGAATGTAATTTGTGAAAACAATGAGAATAAGGTAACACATGCTGCCAGTTTGCTTTGTACAGAGTAGTTATTAATTAACTAATGGTGAGTATTTGAAAAAGCTGAATTACATTAGAGATTGAAGTACATTATTAATTAGAGTATTAAAATTCCTAGAAAAGCCAGATTACAGAACTTTTTGTGATAGAATAACTTCCAATTTTTGCATTTGATTACTGTCATCTTTAGTTGGAATCACTTTGGATTAATTTGGATTAGGCCACTAATAAAATTTTTTAATGTACATAAAAGTGATTTTACTAAAAAAAATTAATATAACTGTGAGATATTTTCTTATGTAGCTTAAAGATAAAAAAAGAAAAAAAATACTAACACTTGTTCAAAGCAGAAACTTGCCAAACAGGAAAATTATTTCAGTACTGTATGAATTTCAGTTTACACATGTTTTAATATATTAATATATAAAAATATGCTCCAAATAAAATTTCTAAATGACTGAATTGATCTGCTTAAAAGTGCTTTTGAAAGATTTTAATAATAATTTACATTTTCAACCTTTTAAATAGTGCTATTAAATGAGAGTTCTAAAAATTATTAGCACAATATTACTACTTTTTCTGAAATGGGATGATTTTAACACTGTCATAACAGTGTTAAAATTATCCCATTTCAGAAAAATAGAACAAAATTTTATAAATTTTCTATTGGCTCAAAACCAAACTTATCATAATGACAACATTATAATATTGTACCCAACTGAAAAGAGATGAATGTATATGTCTGAAATGCATATTGGAGTCAATAAAAATGAAATGATAAAACATTCACCTTAAAGTCAATTGTGATCATTATGATAAGTTTGGTTTTGAGGCATATTAATAGCCAATAGAAAATTAACAGTTATCCAAACTAGAAGCAATTTATACTACAATAAAACTTTTTGCTATAGCATTAAGTTTTAAATAATAGAAAATATAAAATCCTGATAAAATTAACTTGTTACATATTTTACATTTATAGATGTCATGCCTTGTGAACAATGGGGTGTTTGCAGTCAAAAATGTGTTCAATTAAAGCATTACCATAAATGTGAATGCGAAGATGGATATGAACTAGAGTCTGATCAGTTCACTTGCAAAAGCACTGGTATGTTTGATATTAANTCTGAGATTTTTAAGATCTTACAAACATTCCATTTTCAATGTTATCACACTTTGTTGTAACTTTTTAGACAGCAGGATGCATTGTAGTTTCTTCACTTTATTCCTTGTTCATCAGAATAATAATCTACTTCTATTGCATCATAAATTTGTATACAATTTGTTCTACTGTATTGTTAAAATAAATATATCAATTGATATTGAAAGAAATATTTTGAATTGTGTTTTGTCAGTAAAATATTGAGATGACTGTTTACTCATCTCAATATTTTACTGACTTAATGTTCTGGAATTTTTAAGATCTTACAAACATTCCATTTTCAATGTTATCACACTTTGTTGTAACTTTTTAGACAGCAGGATGCATTGTAGTTTCTTCACTTTATTCCTTGTTCATCAGAATAATAATCTACTTCTATTGCATCATAAATTTGTATACAATTTGTTCTACTGTATTGTTAAAATAAATATATCAATTGATATTGAAAGAAATATTTTGAATTGTGTTTTGTCAGTAAAATATTGAGATGACTGTTTACTCATCTCAATATTTTACTGACTTAATGTTCTGGAATTTTTAAGATCTTACAAACATTCCATTTTCAATGTTATCACACTTTGTTGTAACTTTTTAGACAGCAGGATGCATTGTAGTTTCTTCACTTTATTCCTTGTTCATCAGAATAATAATCTACTTCTATTGCATCATAAATTTGTATACAATTTGTTCTACTGTATTGTTAAAATAAATATATCAATTGATATTGAAAGAAATATTTTGAATTGTGTTTTGTCAGTAAAATATTGAGATGACTGTTTACTCATCTCAATATTTTACTGACTTAATGTTCTGGAATTTTTAAGATCTTACAAACATTCCATTTTCAATGTTATCACACTTTGTTGTAACTTTTTAGACAGCAGGATGCATTGTAGTTTCTTCACTTTATTCCTTGTTCATCAGAATAATAATCTACTTCTATTGCATCATAAATTTGTATACAATTTGTTCTACTGTATTGTTAAAATAAATATATCAATTGATATTGAAAGAAATATTTTGAATTGTGTTTTGTCAGTAAAATATTGAGATGACTGTTTACTCATCTCAATATTTTACTGACTTAATGTTCTGGAATTTTTAAGATCTTACAAACATTCCATTTTCAATGTTATCACACTTTGTTGTAACTTTTTAGACAGCAGGATGCATTGTAGTTTCTTCACTTTATTCCTTGTTCATCAGAATAATAATCTACTTCTATTGCATCATAAATTTGTATACAATTTGTTCTACTGTATTGTTAAAATAAATATATCAATTGATATTGAAAGAAATATTTTGAATTGTGTTTTGTCAGTAAAATATTGAGATGACTGTTTACTCATCTCAATATTTTACTGACTTAATGTTCTGGAATTTTTAAGATCTTACAAACATTCCATTTTCAATGTTATCACACTTTGTTGTAACTTTTTAGACAGCAGGATGCATTGTAGTTTCTTCACTTTATTCCTTGTTCATCAGAATAATAATCTACTTCTATTGCATCATAAATTTGTATACAATTTGTTCTACTGTATTGTTAAAATAAATATATCAATTGATATTGAAAGAAATATTTTGAATTGTGTTTTGTCAGTAAAATATTGAGATGACTGTTTACTCATCTCAATATTTTACTGACTTAATGTTCTGGAATTTTTAAGATCTTACAAACATTCCATTTTCAATGTTATCACACTTTGTTGTAACTTTTTAGACAGCAGGATGCATTGTAGTTTCTTCACTTTATTCCTTGTTCATCAGAATAATAATCTACTTCTATTGCATCATAAATTTGTATACAATTTGTTCTACTGTATTGTTAAAATAAATATATCAATTGATATTGAAAGAAATATTTTGAATTGTGTTTTGTCAGTAAAATATTGAGATGACTGTTTACTCATCTCAATATTTTACTGACTTAATGTTCTGGAATTTTTAAGATCTTACAAACATTCCATTTTCAATGTTATCACACTTTGTTGTAACTTTTTAGACAG